TTCCCCGCTACTTATTTACCTTCACTGGATGTGTGGTGTTATTGGTTACGGATCACGGTTGGGAAGGGTACCAGTAATGTAGCACCAGGCAAAGAGTACTCAGGGAGATGCCAGGGGAGCTGATCCCTTCTTACATTCCTCCCCCCCTCGAGTGAACGGGTGCTTCCACTGTCAAGAGACGATGCATGAGTGCCATAAATACTGCATGTGTGAAACTTGCTTGCTTAAGTTGTCGACGATTGGGTACCTAGCTAGCCTGCTGGGAAGAGGTGCCTCTTTTTTTTCCTGGTCACCTCCTCACGCATGCTCGCAGTGCACACGCCAACGTGGCCCATGCGCGCGTCCATTCATGCAGGCGATGACGATCTTCCTAACTTGGCTCTGCGTCAGGCAGTGTACGCATCATCAGTGTACCTGTGGGATAACACTTACCTCTACCCAGGTTACGCGGTGGATGGAGTCACCGAGTATCCAAGTCCCCTCGATGCATCCACCTTAAGCTTATTTCACTCGAACTACTCGGATCCGACGCCTTGGATTTCTGTTGACCTGGGTGCCGTGGCACTTGTGAAGCGGGTTGTCATCATCAACCGATGTGATTGCTGTCCGGAACGACTGCAGAATGCAGAGCTGCGCATTGGGAACGTCAGCATTACTCGGGGGATTAATGCAGCAGGCGGGGGCGATACACGCAACATTACAGGGGACCCCTTGGTCTGGCGACAAGATGCCGATGTAGGCATGTGCGCTTCAAAGATCATCGCGTTTGACACGCCCAAGGTTGGACGATGGGTCACGTTACAAAACAAGTACCCTCTTCTACAAATCTCGGAGATCCAAGTCTTTGGATATTACGCCGCCTCCGCAGGTGGGTGTGCGCATCTGTAACACAGCAAAGGCGTAACCCGGGATGCTCAGATTGGCATTTGCGTCGTTACATTGCCCCCCACTTAGCAATGGACGTCCTCGGCCATTATTTCGAGCACAGGAGCCATCCCACCTCGCGCCAGTGCGCTGGTTTATCCATTACACCATGAAATCGCCAATTTGCTGGTTGCCAGAATCGAACCGCCGACCCGAAGTTTATTTCGGAATTCGTGCGGTCCCGTCTCGATACCATTGTAACACAGCAAAGGCGTAAC